GAGTCTTTGGTGATCAGAGAAAGAATCAGTGTGATATTAGTTTGAATGTTAGTTTGATGTTGGTTTCTGACTCTGCAGTGTTAAATACACACTTTTGTGTTAGCTTTTCATTCCTATGACAAAATGCCTGAGAAAAACAAAGGAGTAAATATTTGTTTCAGAGGTTCATATTCGGTTGTCTCCATTGCTTTGGGCCTGAAGCAAGGCAGAACAGCATGACAAAAGAGCATGGTAGACAAAAACTGCTCACCTTATGGCAGCCAGGAAGGAGAGAGAGAAAATGGAAGGGTTTGGGGACAAAATATAGTATCCAAGGGCATGCCCCCAAGAGCCTACTCCCTTCTACTAGGTCCTACTTTCTACAGTTTCCACCACCTCTCAGGATTCCATTCAGCTAAGAAATCATCTATGGATTCATCCACTGATGAGGTCAGAGCCTTCATGATCCAATCACATCCCCTAAAACCCCACTCTGAGCAGTGCTATATTGGGGACCAGCCCTTCACCACATGAGTCTTGGTGAATATTCCAGATACAAACCATTACAATTTCAAAAGAAATATTTTCTTGTGATATATATACACAATAGAATATTGCCTAGCCACAAAGGAGAATGGAATTATGGCATTTGGTGGTAAATGGATGGAACTGGAGAATATCATGCTAAAGAAATAAGCCAATTCTGAATATCCAATGGCCTAATGTACTGTCTGATTTGTGGATGCTAACCCAAAACAAGGGAGGTTGGGGAAGGGAAGAATAGAAACTGATTGGACTAGACAAAGGGTAATGAAGGGAAGCAGGGAGGGGAATGGGAAAGACAATAGAATTAATTGGTCATAACTTCCTAGCCTTGTTTTGTATATATGACCCAGGTGACTCCACATAATGTATGACCACAAGAGTGGGAATCTAATAGAATAGGTTATATTTTGCATATGTTTATTCTACCAAAATACATTCTACTGGCATGTACAACTACTAATAAAAAAAATTAAGAAATACTTTCTCATTAGTTAAACAAAAGCTCCTTAAATCTGTCTGTTCACTCACCATACTCTGTGATGCTGTATCTTTGCCTTTTGCTGTAAGGTTTATCATATGTGGCTTTAATATCTGCATCCATGTTACCAAAAGACTGCCATTTCAGTTGGTGAAATTAAACCTGTATGTATATATTTTTTCTAAGAGCAGATGAGTGTAAGATGTCTGTAATATATTCTTATCTAATTCCGAACTTTGAAAGTTTGCCATCACTTTCCTAGGAGAATAAGATTTGCTATAGGGAGTTATACTTTGAAAGTTAGTTACTCCTATCTTTGCATTATTTATGAGTTTTTTTTTCATGAGTGCAATTGTAATATTTCTGTTATACACCACTGAATTTGTATTTAGTGAATAGAATTTACATTTAATCCGTTTGTATTAAAGTGACTTAATGAGATGCCTCACTTTTCTGTATTAAAAGCAGGTCAAGGCCAAATGAAAGACTTAAGGCAATACATTATTCAGTGCTCATTTTCAGCATAACTTGTATCTTACGATGATTCATGATTTAAGTAAACCAGTTAATAACAGTTCCTATCACTAGCACTAATAATTTTCTAAGGTCAGATGTTTCCTATTAACCTATTGGCAAACTTTTAAATTCCACCAATGTAAAGGAATTCTCACACTTTTGTTTTCTAAACTGAATATCTAGAAAAAGATTGCATCAAACTGTGAAAGCCTAGAAAAAGCAATGAATGAGACCATGGGAATGGTCATTTGATTGATGATGTTATGTCTTTAACATCTGCAATTAAACAAAAAAGCAAAATATATTGGAATTTTATTCTCATCCATCTGATGTACCTGACCTTGTGTTCAAGAAAAAAAAAAAAAGAAAAGAAAAGAAAGAAAGAAAAGAAAAATGGGAAAGGCATGAATTATTTATCTGCACAGGATGTTTTACTTCCTGTTTCCTCTCCAGACCTTACATTTGCCTGAGCACCTTGCCTATTTGTTCATTAAAGAAGACAAAAGCCACATACAGTAACTCTGACACCTTCAGGCCTCTGTACCACCCGTGCCTGCTTCCCCTCTTCTCTCTAGCAGTAAGAAAGCTGACACACATTTTCCTGCAGGGACTTTCTTCAGTGTACCATCTGGATCCCATCCTTCTCACCTCCTCCCCAGGTTGTTGTTCACCTCTTTTCTATTTCCTGCCATCTTTTCCTTTCTCCTCTTTTCACCATCAGCCCTTTGTGTTCTGGTGACCCCCCACTTTAACCTGGACCCCAGGTTCCCCCGACAGGTACCACCATGTGTGTTTCTGCTCCCCTCTGCCAAGGAGCTGTGAAGACTTGCCAGGCACAGATTTCCACTTTCTATCTGCTCTGTCCCTTCAGGAACTCTCCACCTGAGGTGCATAAATTCAGTGGCAGTTAAGTCCTTGTCATCTCTGTCTCTGAACTATGGCTTCCTCTTGAGATTTCTCTCTTTCTTTCCCTCACATCATACTCCAAAAAAGTAAGAAAATCTAACATCCTGATTTCCCCCCTGCCTCTCTGGGAACTCACTCTTAGTTTTTTTGACCCTTCTGCTCTATTTCACTCTAATTCACATGGCTTTAAGCCACATTTTTATGATGAAGCCTTCTACTTTATTATTTTTTTAAAATATTAAGTCACATCTTCCTTAAGCCACGTGCTGTAAATGTCATTTCTTGACATCTCCACTCGTCTGTCTCACATACGTGGAAATCTCATCCAAAGTGAAACTCTGCTTCTTGTCCCCAGCCCTCAGTTATCCCTGAACTGGTCACTCTTCCAGACACGGAGGCCGCGTCAGAAACCTGGCGGTTACTCAAGATCCTGTTCTGTTACTCATCCACATGTTGAATCCACCAGCATGTCCTGTTCATTCTCAAAAATACATCTGAGTCCTTCCTTTTCTGACCATCTCCATGAATAAAAAAGCCACTAAATGTTTTCAGCTAGGTAACGACAATAGCTTCCTGTCTCTTCTCTCCTGGCAATTTTGCTCACTTTAAATCTGTTTTCCACACAGCAGCTAGGGTGATCTCTTAAAATTCTGTATTAAAATTATTTTTCATTTGATAGAGAATGAAACCTCACTTTTTAGCATTTCCTTTAGACTCCACATGATCTAGCCTCTGCCTCATTGATCCTCAGGATGTTTCCTTAAAAGGCATCCACCCTCCAAAATAATAATAATAATCTGGATCTTTGCAATAATGTGGGCTGTTTGCTTGAAATCTTCTTTTCTTCATGTTCCTCACTGGGACATTTCTCTGGAATCACAGGAAATGCTATTTCTGAGCAGAATTTCCCCCACTGTTATTCACAATCCACATTGGAAATGCTTCCCCTGATATTGTCTCTCAGAGCACATTATTGTATTTCTCTACAGAGCTAATCAGTCATCATACTGCATTGAAAGGCAGCCTGGGAATGGTTGGAACAATAGACTCTTGTGACACTGCACAATTGTCACTTGGTCTCCTCATTATTAGTCACGTGACTAGGGACAACTCAACCTCTCCTAGTTTCTCATGGATCAAATGATAATGTTTCTCTTGTAGGGCATTTGCAGAGGAGATAATTATTGTTTTTACAGTTTGTATTAAATTGAGTACATAGTACATATCACGTAAGTGTTTGCTTATGGATTTATGGTCCATGTGAGTGTGTGCATGTGTATGCATGAATAATTTGCTTAAATCTGAAAGCACAAAACTATTACTTGCTTTCATTCTCGGCTACTTGTAAACATTTGCTTTACAAATAGCTAATGAATTTTGAGTGTACCTTATAATTAGTCTCATTAATCTTCAGAGGAAAAAGAATACTGCAGTATATTTGTAAGAATTTGGAATCACTTGTGGCCCACCCATTCAAAGCACTGAATTATATGTTCTTTGATCTGACAATAACCTTCAACATTTTGTCGAGCCAGTCCTTTGCCTTTCAGCAAGTCTGACTTTTATTCCACTTTTGAACACATACGAAGTCTGGGCCCTGGGTATCCTAAGGAACTGACAGAAGTTAGAGTTAATAAACAATGGGAGTTTTTCATCATCTTATCCTGGAGTGTGCAGTACTCCTATTGTTCTTATCCTTTTGGAAATACCCAGTGAACTATGTGAATCCACTTTGTAGAACTGTCAAATTACTTTGTTGCTTATTCGTAACTTTTCAGTTTGGAGCAGGTATCATGGGAGAGTTTAAATTCTGTCCTCTCACAGTCTCTTATTGCTGAGAGCTTTGTCACTCAGAGCAATCACTATGTGCAGTAATTGACTTGCCCTTCACTTAGCTCCACAATCCCTGTGTTCTTTATTTATATCATCTAGAGAGTGGCATTTGTAAAAGGCTACCAGTTGATCTTGGTTCATATTACCTTTTGGTTTGAGCTAACATAGAGTCCACTTTTACATTTCAAAACTGCTATCCTCCCCTGTCATCCAGTGTCCTCTTTTTTTTAACCAACCTTTTCTGACAAGAGGCAATTAAAAATCCTTACCTTTTCCTGCATCCTGGGCAGGTATCTTATATCAGTTTTATTTATTTATTTTTATGTGGTGCTGAGGATCGAGGATCACCCACCTCCAGGGCCTTGCACGTGCGAGGCGAGTGCTCTACTGCTGAGCCATAACCCCAGCCCTCATATCAGTTTTTAATTTGGAATTCATATTGTTGTTTTTGTTTTGTCTATATGATCCTCAGATTTGGGGACCAGAAGGGACCTCACATAACTCAAATTTATAAACAGGGAAACCAAGATTAGGAAGGTGACTGGCTCAGGGTTAACAGTGTAAGTTGGAGGCTTAAATGGAAGCTGCCATTTGATCTTTGGCCTTTAGTTACTTAGACACTCTTCATTTTGAAAGAGAGAGCAATGCAGTGAGGTCGAGATGGGTAAAACAAATTTGTTGAAAATTGTATGTTTGATCTTAATGTTCATTTATGCATTTTCTTTTTTTTTACTTTTTGCAGTTCAACAGCAATGCTCAGGATGTAAGCTGTTTTCAGCACCTTGTTCAAGCAAATGTAAGAAATAAGAAAGTGTTGAAAGATGCAGTGAATAACATCACAGCAAAAGGAATAACCGATTATAAGAAAGGCTTTAGTTTTGCTTTTGAACAACTGCTTAATGTAAGTAGCAATACTATGCCTTTTTTTCTTGTGATTGAATTGTTATATCTGAATCTCATTATCTTGAGAGCTACTGTCTTTAAGGTTTCTTAATAGTGCTGTTTTTACTTGTTTAGAAACCAGATGTACCAGATGGACACAAACTACTGATATGTCCAGGCAGTAGAAATCTTTGAACTACTTTTATTTTTAAGTCCAAAATTCAAAAGCTGTATACCCTATCAATCTTCTTTTTCCTTTAAATCATTTTCCCCAAAATTCTGTTATAAAAAAATCATTTGTAAGCTAATATTTTGATTTTATTTTGTATAAGCATGTGAAAATGGGTTGACCTATGTAGATTGACATTTTTTTTTTCTTATCTCAATTGCTACACTATTTTTTTGGATATGTGTAGTATCACTCATCAATGGTTACTAAAAATATTTTAGTTTTGACTACCTCATCTGTATATTTAGGTTTCTTGTTCCTAAATGAACACAAAAGTCCAAATGATAGACCTTAAGATGAACAGAAAGACAAGTCTTGTTGCAGGAATTCCTTCTCAGCAAAGATTCCTGTGCATCACCTTTGGAGGACTGCACGTAGACTGGCAGACCCTGGCATGCTGCCTGCCCTATGGTATAGCAGGCAGCTCACTCTGTGGACAAGTATCTTCAAATGGCCATGTCCTCTATTTCATGCTGTGGTACTTGATTTTTGCATCCCTCCTGAGGAAGTATTATTACAAAGGTTGAAAATGGGGACCTGTCCTCCCTGTACTTTAGTTTCCTCACTTACATAGTGGGGGTCACCACAGCTTACATGTGAGAGGGCTGTGGAGAGGATGGTCCAGAGAACACAGCACATAACACACCACCTGCAAGTGATGGCTATCAGGTGGGTTTGGGGCTCATGATCATCATTATTACTGTAATTGATGATTAGCCTGGGGCTGTTACAGTCAGCTCATCCTTCCTGTCATATTTGCCAAATCACTGAATAAATCAACCTTTACATATAGTCTTTTCTGAAAATCTGACTTTGTTGTTCTCTGAGTGAATAGTCTAAACAGTGTTTGAGATCCATTCATTTCTTCACTCTGCCAATATTTATTGAGTACCTTTCAATTTGCTATCATAATGCCGGGGTTAGAATTATAGGAGGAAAGATCATCTGCTTTCAAGAAGGTCTAGTCTAATGCACTGGATCATCATTCACATTATGATGTGGCGTTCTTCGTGTTTGCTGAAGCAGCACAGAGGAGAGGCAGCTTTGGTACCCCAAGGAAGTTAAGAAAGGGTAGCATTTCCTTGAAAATGGAATTTTGAACTCTCAGTAGAATCTAGGAAGGTAGATGAGGGAGGGAAAATCATTTTAAGAAAAGAAAAAAAAAAAAAAACAAGACAGTGTGGGTAACACAGAGAGATGAGACAACATGATGACATAATTAAAACATTGCAGCTGGTTCGGCATGGCTAGACTGTCAGCAGTTTGAGAGCAGTGATAGAAATGGAAAGGCTGTGAGATATCAGTGAAGAAAGTAAGAGCAAACTAAAAGCTCAGAGCATGAGAAGGGTATGGTGAGGGGTATTCTGTGAGGTGTTCTGAAAGGGAGGTGGGTGTAATTGATGGATGGCACAGGAGGGGTTACTGAGAGTGGGAGGGGACTTAGATGACACCAAGTTCTCTGAACTGGACTACGAGGCAGATGGTGGCACAGAAACCTGATGGGGAAATATGGGATAGAAATAGCTCAGTCCAGATATGTAAAATTTGAGGTCAAGTTTTATTTATTTAACAGACCCTGTTAGATAAGCAGTAAGAAGTCAGGAAAATGAACATGTTTAACATTGCCATTTTTAGTAGAAATTATCTTTAGTGAAATGACTATGCTTATTAAATAGTATATGTTCATGAATGAAAACTGAAATCTCAATACTTCAAAATTCAAATGTAATTTATCATTAGATTCAGATATATTTGTCCTCAAGTAAAGGAATATAAATTCCTTTATATTCTTATACTCTTATAAAGTAAGAGGTTTTTTTTAAATTCTTTTATCTTGAGTAAATAGTAGAGTTTTCTAAATCTTGGTGTTTGAATTATTCTTATTATTGACAGTTTGCCTCACCTCACTCCCTCCTGTCTGGGTTTCAAAGAAACCTAAAGAAGGGTTCAGAGACAGGCTCACTGGAGGCCGCCTTAACCCCATGTTCGTTCCTAGTGGAGGACAAAACCTGAAAACTCCTATGGCCCCTCCGCCTGCCTTCACTAAAGTTGTAAATGATTTTTAATATGGTGTCTATGCCTCATGTGTTTTTTTTTCCTACATATCCCACATACATTGAAATTTTTTGTTTAAATAATTTTCTCAAATATTATGGCTCACTTTATTAAGTTGAGGCATGTTTAGTCATTTCCTTCAAACACTTATGTTCTTATTATGCTATTTCATTCTGTTTTTTTCTTTGTCCTTTCAAATTTACCTTTAAAATCACAGAAGCAACTATCAAATTAGAATCAGGCATGTTGTTAAGTACAACAATAAACATTAACTGCATTACTCTTCAGTTATAATTTCATCAAGTATTATCATTTTTCAAGTTTTTGTTGAATGTTTATTTGATAGATGCTGTGCTTTGTGCTGGCCAAGTAGGGAAAGAACAGAGTTTGTTTAACTTTATCACATTAAAGTGTATTATCATTGCCATTAATTATAAATTTATTGAAATAATCAAATTTTTGCTCAGTTTGTTCAAAGTAATGTTAATTATTATGATTATATGATTTTTACATAATTGCAAACCCATGGAAAAATTAATATTATTCACATTAATCCTACCACAAATCCTGAGGCAGTTACTCCTAGGAAAATTCATGTTGAAATCAAAAGATTTCTTGATCTTTCCTACATTCTCCCATTTTTTGTATGCCCTGATATCTATCTCTCCTAGAAAGAGAGTTATATACAAATACATTGACAAATGCATTCATTAATATTAATTATACCTCCAGTGCTTCAAAAAGTAAAACTATGACCTATGGTAAAACTTTATTTACAGTATCGCTCTTATAAAATAGTCCTTGTGCATATTATTTTGACCATTTTATACATGCAGATAAAAAGATGAAATAGAGAAATTAATTTAGCTAAGGGATTTTTAGGCATCTTTTACACACACACACACACACACACACATTATTTTATATTGTACTAGAAATTGAACCCATAAGTGCTGTATCCCCATTTGAGACACAGTCTCACTCAGCTGTTTAGGGTTCACTAAATTGCTGAGGCTGGCCTTGAACTTGTAATTCTCCTTATCTTAGCCTCTGGAGTTGCTGGGATTATAGGCACATGCCACTGTGCCCAGCTCATGAACATATTTTTAAGATAAAATATGTAAAGCTCTGCATAATCAAATTTGCAGATAAGTTATCTTCAAAAGATAAGAACCTACACCTGTAATTCTACAGACTGAGGACACTGAAGCAGGGGATCTCAAGTACCAGGCCTGCATCAGCAACTTAGTGAGACCCTGTCTCAAAAAATAAAAATGGACTTCGAAATGTAGCTTAGTGGCGGAGTGCTCCGAGTTTAATTCCCAGTACAAAAAGAAAGAAAAGAGAAGAATGTTATAAATGAGTTAATCAATACTTATGTTTTCACAATGCTTCATTAAGAGCTTTTACTGCCAAAGTCCTAATAACCTAGTCAATGAATGAGGTGAGATTGTATGAAACATGATCTTTTCACCAATAGAGAAAAATATTAGCTTCATTAATTTTCACATCAGAAAATGAGATTTATCTTGACTGAAAAGTAAGAAAAGAATGTAGACCTTAATAAGCTTGGACGCTAAGGAGAATTAATGATTTTTTAAAGCATTAGTCATTTGAAGTTCAGGGTTGTGCAGTCCAACACAGTAACTATCATCACATGAGGTTGTTGGGCAGTTGGAAGGTGGTTGATTTGAATGGACATGTGTAGAAGTGTAAAATACACAACAATATTCAGAGACTGATGCTGCTGAAAATAAAGCATATTACATTGATTTCATTTTGAATTGGCAATATTTCAGATGACTAAATAAATCATATTATTAGAATTAATTTCATATATTTTGTATTTACTGTCCTTGAGATGGCTATAAGAAAATTTGGAATTACATATTAGGCTCATATTACTTTTCCTTTGAATAGCATTGAGCTAGAGGGTTGACATTTTCAAAAAATTTGAGCATCTATAAATTAGTGTGATTTTTTTTCTGCATTTAAGGATATACATTTCTCAGTAGCAGAAAGCTACGATGATAATGTCATACATCAAGAAATCCACCTTTCTGAATTAATTGTTCACTTTAATGGCCCTTTAGTACTAGTTCATTGTTCTCCTGTGTCAACTCCTTTGGAGACCTTAAAGATTAAGAGGACTTATCACTGGAATTGAATCTTTCAGGAGTAGCATATGCAGGCAAGGTTGAGAGAAGAGAGAAAAAATACCCTGGGAATATCTCTGCATTTACAAAGGAATAAAAGAGTGTTATATGTTAGAGGGAGTTTGTCCTTTAGAAATGTAATTTAAAAAAATAGAATGAGGAGGGAAGAAGGAAGAATTACGCGGAAATAGATTGCAATTACACTGAAAAGGTTTTCATATTTTAATATTACTTCCTTGTTTCTACTATAAAATCGTAGGGTCATAAAATTAACATGTGCATTTATTAACTTAAAGTCCATCTACTATTCAGTCGCTGAGGGATTATTAAGAGCCAGATATTCTTGTAGACAAAGAAACAACACAGAATGAAAAAAAAAAATGTCCTGATTTTGTAGAGTGTACATTCTATTGGGAGAATCCACCAATAAGCACACAGATAAATAAAATATATACTATCTGTAAAAGAATATAAAATGATATCAAGAGAAATATAGTCTAGGAGGGAGCTTGCAAATTAATATAGGAAAGTCTCACAGATGGGGTAACATCTGATCCAAGATGTGGAAGAAGTGAGGTAGTGACATCTGCCTGGCCCAGGAACAGGTTTTTAGAATCTATTTACTGAGCAGACATTTCCCTCATTACTAGCAGTCTCTGCACGCTCTTTCCGTATTGGTTTATTTTCCATGTCCTTCATTATCAACAACGGGCAATTGTTTTGTTTTAACAGTATAATGTTTCCAGAGCCAACTGCAATAAGATTATCATGTTGTTCACGGATGGAGGAGAAGAGAGAGCCCAGGAGATATTTGCCAAATACAATAAAGATAAAAAAGTGAGTGTAATTATATAATATTTTTATTTTAATGTTTAGGTGGTTGTTAAAAGAGAAAGTGGTAATCTTAGTAAGGTGAACCTTTTTGTTTGAAAACATTTAGTCCCAACTGTAAAGTAGCATGAACTATGGGTTGTGAAATATAATATTTTCATAAGACACACAAGTGGTATCTGACTAATATGTCAGTAAAATAATTTGGACTTATTGCTCCTATTTGATTCTTATGCATCAATTTTATTTTATTATTTTTCATTTTTTTAAATCTATATATGTCAGCAGAATGCATTACAATTCGTATTACACATATAGAGCACATTTTTTCATATCTCTGGTTGTACACAAAGTATATTCACACCAATTCAGGTCTTCATCATGTACTTTGGATAATAATGATCATCACATTCTACCATCATTTCTAACCCCATGCCCCTCCCTTCCCCTCCAACCCCTGTGCTATCTAGAATTCATCCATTCCTCTCATGCTCCCTCACCCTACTCCACCATGAGTCAGCCTCCTTATATCAGAGAAAACATTTGGCATTTGTTTTTTGGGGATTGGCTAACTTCACTTAGCATTATCTTCTTTAACTCCTTCCATTTACCTTCAAATGCATGATTTTATTTTCTTTTATTGCTGAGTAATGTTCCATTGTGTGTGTGTGTGTGTGTGTATATGTATGTATATATATATATATATATATATATATATCATTTTTTAATCTATTCATCTATTGAAGGGCATCTAGGTTGGTTTCACAGTTTAGCTATTGTGAATTGTGCTGCTATAAACATTGATGTGGCTGTGTCCCTGTAGTATGCTGTTTTTAAGTCCTTTGGGTATAGACTGAGGAGAGGAATAGCTGGGTCAAATGGTGGTTCCATTCCCAATTTTCCAAGAAATCTTTATACTGCTTTCCATATTGGCTGCACCAATTTGCAGTCCCACCAGCAGTGAATGAGTGTGCCTTTTTCCCCACATCCTTGCCAACACTTATTGTTGTTTGTCTTCATAATAGCTGCCATTCTGACAAGAGTGGTTTTGATTTGCATTTCTCTAATTGCTAGCAATGATGAACATTTTTCCATATATTTGTTGATTGACTGCATATCATCTTCTGGGAAGTGTCTGTTCAAGTCCTTGGCCTATTGATTGATTGGGTTATTATATTTTTTGGTGTTTAACTTTTTGATTCTTTATATACCCTTGAGATTAGTGCTCTATCTGATGTGTGAGATGTAAAGATTTTCTCTCAAGATGTAGGCACTCTGTTCACCTCACAGATTGTTTCTTTTGCTGAGAAGAAACTTTTTAGTTTGATTCCATCCCATTTATTGATTCTTGATTTTAATTCTTGTGCCACAGGAGTCTTATTAAGGAAGTTGGGGCCTAATCCCACTTGATGGATATTAGGACCTACTTTTTCTTCTATTAGACACAAGGTCTCTGATTGTATTCCTAAGTCCTTGATTCATTTTGAGTTTTGTGCATGTTGAGAGATAGGGATTTAATTTCATTTTGTTGCATATGGATTTCCAGTTTTTTCAGCACCATTTGTTGAAGAGGCTGTCTTTTCTCTAATGCATGTTTTTGACACCTTTGTCTAGTATGAGATAATTGTGATTTTGTGGATTAGTCTCTGTGTCCTCTATTCTGTACCATTGCTCTGCCAGTCTGTTTTGGTGCCAATACCATGCTGTTTTTGTTATTATTGCTCTGTAGAATAGTTTAAGGTCTGATATAGTGATGCCATCTGCTTCACTCTTCTTGCTAAGGATTGCTTTAGCTATTTTGGGTCTCTTATTTTTCCAGATGAATTTCATGATTGCTGTTTCTATTTCTATGAGGAATGTCATTGGAATTTAGATCAGAATTGCATTAAATCTGTATAGTGCTTTTGGAAATATGGTCATTTTGTTAATATTAATTCTTCCTATCCAAGAGCAAGTAGATCTTTCCATCTGCTAAGATCTTCTTTGATTTCTTTCTTCAGGGTTCTGTAATTTTCATTATATAAATCATTCACCTCTTTTGTTAAGTATTTTATTTATTTTTTTGAGGCTATTTTAATGAGGATAGTTTTCCTCATTTCCCTTTCTGAGGATTTATCACTGATATATAGAAATGCCTTTGATTTATGGGTGTTAGTTTTATATCCTGCTACTTTGCTGAATTCATTTACTAGTTAGAAGTTTTCTGGTGGAACTTTTAGGGTCTTCTAGGTATAGAATCACATCATCAGCAAATAGTGCCAATTTGAGTTTCTCTTTTCCTATGTGTATCCCTTTAGTTTCAAGAACTATGTTAAATAGAAGTCATGAAAGAGGACATCCCTTTCTTGTTCCAGTTTTTAGAGGGAATGCCTTCAATTTTTCTCCATTTAGAATGATGTTGGCCTTTATACATCAATTTTAAATAGGAAAATGTTATACAAAGAGAGAAATCAGAAGAGAATGGAGAAACAGCAACAATTTAAGCTCTTCCTGTGTAAAAGTATTATATCATTTAATTATAAAACACAGTAGTGATACTTAACTTTCCTAAAACACTTCAAAGAGAGTTCATATATGTGCCCCTCCCCCCTGCAAGAAAAATGCATATGATTTTAAAACTGTTGCATTTTAGGGAAAGATTTAAGGTCAATCCTTTTATAGGCATAATATTTTAAGAGATTGTGATACCAATAAGTAATGAATATAAGTGTTTTGTAATTGGAATATATTTATTTCAGTGTTTGTTTTGCTACAAGAGGAAAGCATTGTAGCAAGAGGGATCTAGTAGAACCTGTTGACACAGTGATCAACTTCCATCAAAACTATATCTTTTCTAACAATTCCTTATCAGTTTATGTCACTTTTCTCATCATACACGTTTTATAATTAGACAATCATTCTCAACCTTCTTTCTTAAAAGGCTGGAAATCCATTAAAAATGGTCAGATATTATATTTCTTGTGTTTCAAAAATTCCAACAAAAAAGTATGCATTTATCCACAAGAAAACTTCAGGATAGAATGTCGATTTGCTTTGCTTTACTCCCCCCATTTTTTTCTTTTAATGAGATGGTGACTCACTATGTTGCCCTGGCTGGCCTTGAACTCAGGATCTTCTTGCCTCAACTTCCTTAGTTGCTGGAATTAGAGGCCTGCACCATAACCAGCTTTTCACATTGATTTTCACTTTAGAATTTTTACCACTTTGAAAGATGTGGCTTATCACTGACTTTACTGGATTATATTGTAGTGTTTGAGGAAAACACATACAATATAAAGTTTATGTGTTATTTATGTGTTAAAATATAATTTTTTATGTGTTAAAAGATTGAAATATTAATTAATATACTCAGATGTTTAACAGATAAAATGTTGTGTGTGATGGGATACAGTTCTGATGAAAATTTTTTTTAACACTTTGAAACACTCTGTGCTTTTGAGCCTATGTGCATTTGAAAGTGATCAAAGAATTGAAATCATACACGAGTGAAACTACAGTTTAATAGCGGGAGGAAATTGTTTCTGTTTGCAGGATGGCATGATTTTATATATGGAAAAGTTTAAAGACTCAAAAATGTACAGGAAAAAACCTGATAGAACTATTAAATTCAGTTAAGTTGCAGGATGCAAAATCAACATACAAATGTTAGTTGGGTTTCTGTACTCTAGTGATGAACTATCTGAAACAGAAATTATGGAAACTATGAAGAAATTAAAGAAGACATAGAAATTGAAAAGCATCCCATGTTGGTGGATTAGAAAACTCAATATTGCCAGGCATGATGGTGTATGCCTTTAATCCCAGCAACTCAGGAGGCTGAGGGAGGATGATCCTGAGTTCAAAGCCAGCCCCAGCAGATTAATGAGGCACTTAGCAACTCAGAGAGACTCTGTCTCTAAAGAAGATGTTCAAAAAGGGGCTGAGGATGTGGTTCAGTGGTTACTACCTCAATATTGTTAAAATGCTCATAGTACTGAAAGTTAGCTCCAGGTTCAATGCAATCTTTGTCAGAATCCCAATGCCATTTTTTAATTTTTTTAGAGAAATAGAGAAAATCAATTCTATGATTCCTGTGGAACCACAGAAGACCATAAATCACCAGCTCAGTCTTAGACCAAAAAACAAAGCTGGAGGCTTCCCTCTTCCTGATATAGTGCAAAACTACAGTCACTACAACAGAATATTACTAGAGTAAGGACAGACAGATAGATGAAACAGAATGGAGTGCCCAGAAGTAAAGTTCATGACTATATGGTCAACTGATTTTTGACAACACTGTCAGAAATACACATGAGGAAATGTTTGTTGTCTCTTTAACAAATATTGGGGAAGCTATATAACCAAAAGCAAAAAAATAAAGTTCGATCCTTATCTAACACCATACTGAAAATTCAACCCCAGATGGATTAAAGACTTATATGTCTTAAATGGATGTAGTGATTTAATGAGTATGACAACAAAATCCAGGCAATAAAATCAAAATTAAACATGAAACTCTATCAATGCTTCTGCACAGCAAAAGAAACAATTAATAGAGTCAAAACCTGACCTACAGAATGGTAGAATATTTGCAAACCCTTTGTCTTATAAGATGTTAATATATAAAATATATATGGAATTCCTAATACTCAATAACAAAACAAAACAAAAATAAAAATAATAGCTCCATTGAAAAAAATGGACTAAGAACTTCAATTAGACATTTCTTCAAGGAAGATCTACAAGTTACCCACAAATCTATTAAGAAACTGCCAATGTTATTGGTCATCAGGGCTAATCAAACTCACAATGAGATATCATTTCACATCTATTATGATAACAGTTATCAAAGAAACAAAAAGACAACAGTATTGGAAAAGTTGTAGAGAAATTGAATCCTTTGTATGATGCTGAAGAAAAGAGAACATGATTAGCCACTATGAAAAACAATCAGAAGTTTCCCAAAGAATTAAAAACAGAATTACTAAATCACCAAGGCATCTGATTTCTTGGAATGTATAGACAAG